ATGAAAGCATCAGAGTGAAGGTGAGAGCTTCATTCTGTGTCCCAGCCTTCTGCAGCAGGTGGACCAATGCGATGCTGACCCTGCAGAGTGGTGACCCAGGACAAATAGGTGTCCCCACTTACTGGGCAGTGATCTTGGTCCTAAATAGGAATGACTGGTGGCACTGGGAGAGTTAATGGTGGATTTATCACCTGGAGCACCAACAGGGAAGCATCAGGACACGACTCTACCATCTGCTGAGGAGAACACAGAGGAGCAAACCAGTTCTTGAATTTCCCAACACCATCGATGTACGACAGACTGGGTATTGACCCAGGAGAAAAGCAGGTAAAAACAGGAAAAATGAATGTGAAGAGAAAGGAAGAGGATGGGAAGAGCAAAGAGAGGGCAAAGAGTACTTCCAGCGTGATGCCAGCACCCAGTCTGAGATTTTAAGACAGGATTGAAGTTAATTTTGCCTTGGGCTGCACCCAAGCCCCACAGGTCCTGAGTCACCTCCTGAAGGCAGATCCTGGTGGAAGCTTCACAGGAGGGATGGATTCCTGTTTTACAACTTGCATTAGAGCTGTGGGCAGATGGGCATCACTCACAACCCCCCTGGGCTCCTGCAGCAATGCCACACTCCGGTCAAGCCAGCACAGCTCTGCTGCCTGCTGCCATTGAGATGCCACTGAGCATCACTTAAAAGCTGAGCTCTTTATCAGTGCTTAATAATACTGTAGAGAGCAGGCAGTTAAGTTCTCAGCCACCCCAGGACATGGCAGAACGTTCTCTTTCTTCCAATATGAATTTGGCTTTGCAGCTGATAGATAAGACCGTCAGAGTCAACACAATGTGCATTGCCTTTAATCAATTGACATGCTAGATCCTTGACAGAAAAACACTTTGTACCCAGTGGTAATTATTTGTTCCCTGCCTGTCTTGGAGATCACAGCACTTCCAGTGTGATAAACGGATGAAATACGGGACTTTTTTTTAATGAACTATTCCTCAGTGGATGAAAGTCAAAGCCATCAAACAGCTGTAAGTGGAAGAGTGACACTGCTGCAAAGACCTGAAGACCTGGCCAAGATCTGGTGTGAATGCCCTGGAGGTGAAAAGGGTTTGTGGGTGTCTATGGCTGGAAAAACTGGGTACCAATCCAGCTTGCACGGGGGTAGGGTGACACCAGCAAAGCGTGGGGGTCTTCACTTCTGAGTGAGACTCCTTTAATGCTCTTCGCATGGTCTTCTCCATCAGCCAGCTCTGAGTGCTGCAGGGATGGGGCAGCGCTCTGGAAATGTTGTGCTGGGAACGTAATGAAAGGCTGGCGGGGCTAAGGGAGCATCCTCACTCCCCGGCAGACTCTTATTTGATTGCATTTAGCTTCCCCTCTGCCACGACCTCCTGTTGTGGCTTTTGTCTGCCAAATTAAAGAACCTTTTATTAGAAATCTCACTACAGTGGAATTTATGGACTGAGGGAGCCACCTTTTCACCTTCCCTCTGTTAAACGAAATGACTTGAACTTTTGTGTTCTGGCAGGCGGTTTGCCAAGGCTCAGCCCTCCCCTGCAGCTCTCAGACCAAGGCTTTGCAATTTACAGTCCTGCCTCCCTTTTAGCTGCTGCCTGCCCAATGTTTCTTGTGCAGGATTGCTGCATTCTGCAGGAACCCAGCACAGCACGAGGCTCTTCGGTGTGGGATATGTTGGCCACCAGTGAGATGCTGTGCTTGGATTCCTCCAGGCCATCAGCACCACCAATGAAGAAATCTTGGTTGTGGTTTTGGGGCAAAACTCATGATGGGAATGGGGACAACTTCTAGGAAACCATCAGTATTCAAGCTGCTGTGAGTTGAGATACAGACTGGGTAATCAAACACATCTTTTAGGAAATGGCTACCACAGGAATTCAGCACAGAAGCCCAGGAGCTGAGGTTTCTCAGTCTGCCTGGTCTGGAGGGACCCTCGTCCAGGCTTAGCTGTCAGCTGATGACAGTTTATCTGCTGGAGCCCACTGCCATCGTCTCACTCATCTCTCCATCCTCTCTGGGTGCCACTTTGTGAGCTGCTTTTGCATTTGGGGTTTGGATCCTATAATGTTCCCATTTCTCCTGTGGACTCCAAACCAAAGCAGGAGATGCCCCTGGGCCTTCAAGCACAGAGATACAATGCAAAGGGCCAGCATGGCTGTAAGGCCACCACGGATGTAAGGTCACCATAGATATAAGGCCACCATGGATGTAAGACAACATGGATATAAGACAACATAGATAAAGCCACCATGATTCTACGGCCACCATAGATGTAAGGCCACCAAGGATGTAAGACCACTATGCTTGTATGGCCAACCCTCTTCCCAGCCATTAATGAGTTTAAGGGATAGAAAGACCGGTTCATACAAGGAGCTCAGACCAGACAGTGCTGTAATGGCAACTTCAACCCTATGCATGTATAAGGGCCTGGAGATGTCACAACGAGTCTCCTTGGGTCAAGGTGGCACAAATCCCCTCCACTGACCTAGAGGGGACCACGGGGATTTTGCAACAGGAGATGGAACTTGGCATCTCTGCAGCTTCACAGCTGTGCTGTTGTCGAGCACTTGTTAGCAGCTAATGGCTGCTGGGCATCCCATGGATAATGACCATGTGGCCTGAGTCTATGTCTCAGGAGATAATGAAACTGATAAGACCAAATGGGCTCTTCAGCACACCCCTTGGAGGCTGTGCTCTTTGGGAGCAATCAGCTGCTGTTCCATGCCAGCCTGCACGCTCAAGTGGCTTTTCTCTCCAGGGTGGATCAGCAAAACTCTCCGCAGCACCTCTGGGCAGCCCTGAGGTGTCCCATCTCATCAAGCTTCAGCAACGACTTCCAATGGCTCTTTACCAAAAACTCTTATAAGAGATTAAATTGCCAAGTGGGAATATTTATATCCATCCAAATGACTCCAGGAGTCACTGCTGCTTTTAACCTTTAGGAGGCAATATCCTCTGAACACTTGCCTGGCAGGCTGGAAGAGATTGAATTGGAATCTCCAGGTCTGAAAGGACTTTGCCTGCCCCTTTTCATGGTGACGTTGTTTTTAGGGGTGCTGAGGCTCACAAGCTGTATATTTTGTTGGGAGCCTTATTTTTTGTGTATGGGATAAAAATACTGAGGGGATTGGTGCCTAACTTTGGCTGTAGGGCAAGAGAAGGTGAAGGAAAATGCAGCCCAAATGTGTGTGGAGATGTATTATAAGGATCCTTGGTGCCATGACTTGGGGTTACTCACTGGCTGGTGAGTAGAGCAAGGAGCTGGGCTGCAATTCTGTCCCTGTGTTCACCCAAGCAAAGCTCCTATTTACCATCCAACCGGTCAAAGCCACACCAAAATCAGGGAGAGGAGTCAAAATGGTGCCAAGTGTGATAGGGTGCGATGGGAGAACGTGGTTCGGGGTTTGCAGAGACAGAGCTTGGCTATCCTGAGTCATTGCACTGAGGTCAGTGCCACCAGTGGGGACCTGGACTGGGCACCAGCTGCCTTCATTCCCCATTAGGCATACACTCATCATAGCAGATTTTAGAGACAACATGAAGGGTTTTGTGTCTCCTGTGGTCTGAAAATGGCAATCACCATCAGCCAGGAGAGCTGCCCATGTAAGCCCAGCCCTATGTCAGAAGCTCTTCATGTTGGTCCCACAAAGCCAGGACAGATGACAGGGCTGGAAGAACGGGGCAATTATTCCCCAGACCCACCTTGAACACCCTTGGTTGGTTTCTTGCTTGCTTGCGAGGCGGTTGGATATTAGAAACAATTTCTTCTCTCAAGAAGTGGCGATGCATTGGCACAGGCTGCCCATGGGGGAGTCACGATCCCTGGAGGTGTTCATGGAACGTGGAGATGTGGCACTTGGGAACATGGTCTGTGGGCACGGTGGGATGGATTGGGGTTGGACCTGGGGAACCGACAGGTCTTTTCCAGCCTTCATGGCTCTTTGATTTTATGATGGCTCTGTACTTTTCCCATGCAAAGCGATGCTGTCAGTCCCACAGCCAGCTGCAGACCCAACCACCACACCTCCAGGCTACAAAACCAGCAGGGTTGGGAGCTTCCCAAAATTTGTTTTCTCTCTTTTTTGAGGGGAGAACTGCATCATTTTGACCCAGTTCCCTTCCACCTCTTGGTCAGTGATACATGAGACTCCAAGAGATGAGCAGGATGCACAGCCAGTGCAGATGGGGATGTAGTAGGGGACTAAAGGGACTTGGTGCCCACTATGCACTAAGATCACAGAATCACAGAATGGTAGGGGGTGGAAGGGACCTCCAGAGATCATCGAGTCCAACCCCCTGCCAAAGCAGGTTCCCTACAGCAGGTCGCACAGGTCGGCATCCAGGTGGGTCTGGAACATCTCCAGAGAAGGAGACTCCACCACCTCCCTGGCAGCCTGTTCCAGTGCTCCGTCACCTCACTGTAAAGAAGTTCTTGTGCACATTGGTGCAGAACTTCCTATGCTGCAGTTTCCGGCTGTTTCCCCTTGTCCTGTCTCCACTCCCCACTGAGAAGAGTCCGGCCTCGCCATTCTGCCCCCCACACCTCAGATACTGATAGACCTGGATCAGGTCCCCTCTCAGTCTTCATTTCTCAAGGCTGAACAGACCCAGTTCACTCAGCCTTTCCTCATAGGAGAGATGCTCCAGAAGACGGAGGGGGAAGGGGCGAGGGAACGGGGTGGGCTCATCCTAGTGCCTGCCTCTCGCCCAGACTGTGCTGGGGGCTCCAGCTTGGGGTGGGGGCAAGGCAGAAATGACACAGCCCGGCCATTTCCACAAGACCAGCTTTAATATCAGTCATGAGAACGAGGAGAAAGCACAGAATCCATTAACAGAAAAAATAATAATAATAAAAAATAAAAATAAAAATTAAACACGCACACACACACACACACACAAAATTAAAAAAGGAAACTTCAGAAACCCACCGCCCCCTGCCCACCCCTCCCTCAAACCTTCCCCCCCCCACCCCCCAAGGACTGTCCAGGCACTGCAGATGGAGGAGCATGACACAGCAGCCGGGTGGGGACGATCCACCGAGAGCCACACGGTTGCCCCTCCGCAGGGATGCTCACCTGGGGGTGTCGGGCAGCGCTGAGGTGGCCCGGCCTCGGGGACCTGGCTTAGCTTAAGATTCATCACAGACTGACACGAAGGACAAGAACGTAAGAAGAATCCAAGAGCTGCGACTTTTTGTTTCTTTATTCTAATTCAGCCTACGACGTTAGTAATGGTGATTTCAGGGGATGGCTGGGCCCGCGAGTTCCTTCTTGTAGTGAAAATCAGAGACTGTAAAGAGGAACAGAGCTTATAAAGACAGCTAGGGATATATTGCCGTAAAAAGAACTGGCATGCAGGTGCTTTGTACATTTGGCAGTATGTGAGGTGGCGGGGCTTCTCAGTGTTTGTGGTGCTGGTCTCTGTGTTTTGTACAGTTCAAAAAGGAGCTGCTGCCTTCACAGCTTGGAGACAACCCCCCCAGAGGAAAGGACAACACAAGTCAAGTCCAAGGCGCCTCTCGCTTGGTTTTGGCAGAGTATATATATAATATATATATTTATTATTTTTTTTTTTAATGCATAGCGATTTTCTTCCTGTTTGTTTTTTTTTTTTATTATTATTTATTTAAATTTTTTTTATTAATTAATTTATTTTTATTTTTATTTATTTTTTGCCCCCGTTGCAAACCTGAGCTCGGTCCCTGCTTTCCCGTGCAGTTTCCCTTCCTTAGGTGTTGGCACTGTGCAGAGGTCGGGCGGTGTCAGCAGGCGATCTCCTCCAGTGTTCCCAGGGTGGCCTGCAGTGGCACGTTCACAGTGTGGCTGATGGTTTCCGAATGGTTTGGCATGGGGTCACAAGTGCTCTGCGATGGAGAAACGGGACGGGGTTACCCCGGGGCTGCTCTCCACCCACTGCCTCTCCTCGTTGGCACCGCTAAATTCCTTTGCTACGGAAGCACGATCAGTCCTTGGGAAATAACGCAGTGATGGGGCTCCTTACCACGTTTTCATCATGGCTCCCTTCCTCTTCCTCCTTGCCAAGTAGGTCTAATAATTTCTCCTTGATCAGCTGCAAAAGAGGGAGGGTTGGTTAATCATAGAATTCGGTGATTCTATGATTCTAAACCGGGCAGGATGAGGTGAGCAGAGCGCCTTCTGACATCACAGAACCACCAAGGTTGGCAAAACCTCCAAGATCATCCAGTCCATCCATCCAGCTACCACCGACAGACCATGTCCCAGAGTACAGCATCTGAACATTTCCTGAACGCCTCTACAGCAGTGACTCCACCTCACTGAGCTGGCCAACCCTCCCTTGAATTTTTGAGATTTACCATAGAATCATAGAAGCACCACGGTTGGAAAAGACTTCCTAGACCTTCCAGTCCAACCATCCTCCTACCACCAATATTTCTCTACTAAACCATATCCTTCAGTACAACACCTAAAAGCATGGGGCAAGAGCTGGAGGGGCTCTGGGCTTGGAGGACCCAGATTCAACGGGAAAGAATGAGAAAATCTTCCAGAGAAAACCAGCCCATGTGTCAAACCTGATTTTTTTTTTTTCACAAGAAAAATAACAAAAAGCTCCCAAACCTCAATTTAAAAATATCTATTTGGGAGTTTATTGAAAATGTCAGCTATGTGAACACAGCTTCCCCTTGCAGCCATGGCTCCTCAGGAGCTGCTGCTGAAAAGCCGATTTGATTTTCAAGGGAAATCCCACAAAGGATGAGAAGGGAGTGCAATTTTTTTATTTTTATTTTTTACTGAAAGCCTTCCACAGGGAGGAAAAAATAAACAACAACCCAAAGAAGCAAGCTAAAAATGTGAGCAATTGGGTCAGCTCCTAAGGAAGCAGTTCCTACAGCATTCTCCTGATGCTGGCAGGAGATGCTTGGTGGGATGCAGGACTGGCTGCACATTCTGCCCTGGTCCAGGGCTGAGCAGCGTGACCAATGTGAAAAGCCATTCCTAGGCTCAACCCTTTTGATTTTGGGTAAGCTAATAGAAAACAATCCATTTGCCAGCATCCATTTGCTGGCAATCTCAGAGAGTTTGCAATGAGTTGAAGGTGCTTTGAGCCCTGCCTTGCTGAAGCCCTGAGCAGATCAGAGCTATTTGAGGCATTTTATTCCTGCTCTTCCTGCCCAGTGTGGGTCAAAGATCCATCATGACCATGAAGGTGAACTCGCTGTGCATCCCCAGGTGTGCATTAGGAGATGGGATGCTCTCTTAAGCCATGTTTGCCCAAAAAAAGAATGAAAGAAAGAAAAAAAATGCAGCATGAGGAAACTGTTAGACAAGTTCCATAAGCAGATATCAAACAAAGGAAAGAAAAAGAGAAGAAAAAAGTCCAGACCTGGCAAGGTTTCTTATTACCTTATTCTTATTATTCTTATGAAAGAAGCCCAAGATAGCTGAGAATAGGAGATTTTAATGAAATATGGTGTGAATTCAGACTGAGATATAAACCAAGGCACCCGGCTCTGTTTGCACACCCAAGCCATTATTAGCTTTATGCTTGTAATTTTCTATCTATTTTACTGCAGGATAATGCCACCAAGTGCTAACAGCCATCCAGAAGGAGCTGTGATGGGGAATGACTGCCTTAAAATGCAGAGCCAGCATCTATAATAAAACTGAAGAGTTTTTATAAGGATGTTCCAGCAAGATTGAAGCAGACAACATCCCCATGCACCCAGCTGGCTCGGCACACATTGCTGTGGCAAATGCCACAAACAACCTCTAAATACAATATCCCACAGGATTAATAATCCCCAGTGCCATCATGATAAGAGGTGGACGACGGAGGTCCAAATTATTGCAGATTTCAGTACAGAGAGACTAAAAATATTGCATTAAACCCCCCAGTTTGGGATGGGAAGTGACAGATGTGCTGGGAACTGCCTCTCCCCAGAGGTGTCACATCCCACTTGTAACTGTGCCATAAATTCATTCTTTCCTGCTATAAAATAGTGCCTGCAGGTTTGGGTTCTTGGGGTCATCTCATTGCAAACAGGGACCAAAATCCCAGAGGCTTGCTGCAGGCCCCCCAGATGCTCAGTTTCCCCTTTACAATCAAAAGCCATGAACCTGACCCCCAACATTAACGCTTTTGCAATATGGTGAAGAAGAGTGGGAAATGAGATCCTGGAGGAGAGAATGCTCTAGGGAGGGTTTGTTTGGCTTGAGGTCTTCTGGAGGTGAATTATATGGTATAATTAACTTATAATTCTTATGTTATAGTCATTTATAATTAATTCTAGCATTAATTGAGCACGTTGGGCATGGAGGGTTGTGATCTGTGGTGGCCCCGGCTGGCATCAAGGCTTTCAAGCCCAACCCCTGCCAGGAATAAGGTGAAGGCAAGGCACTTACCTCGTATATATAATCAAAGAGCTCTAGTATAGTGAGGATACTAGCACCAATAAATAGCCCCATCTGGCCTCCAATGTCACCTAGGAGAGAGAATAACACGCTGATGGTTTTACCAGAGCAGCTTCATCATCAGCCTTTTCCTTGACCGAACACCTCTACTGCCCAGCCTGATGGGTCTCAAGCACTTAAATCTTTAGTCATCACCCACAAAGCTTGACCCAATTTGAAGCTAAGCAGCCCAACAGCTCCCTGACCTTCCCCATTGAGCTGTGGGGCAGCATTCAAAGGCAAAGAGCCCGGGGTCCTGGATGGCCCTGTTGGAGATTAAGATGAGTTTGGAGCAGGTAAGAGGTGGTGGGTAGAAGGTTTTAAGAGATAGCTTTCTCCATACTGCCTTCCAGCATGAGAATCACCACTGAGAGCATCCATTGCCTGCTCAACCCGAATATCAGGGCTCTGGTATCCAGCAGAGATGGAGCAGCTCACATTAACCTCTCATGGGTGACACATGGATTAGCTATCGTCCCTCAGATCGTGGCCCCAAGCTTGGTGTCAGAAGGAAAAGAAGAGAAGGGATTGAAAGTGTAGTGGTCAGAAATGTGGTTGGATTTTGCTGGGATTTCACAGGATGCACTCACTTGTGGCATCTGCCTGTCCCATAAATACACCCAGCTCACACAGACCTGATAATATACCCCGACTCCTCCTTACCAAGTAAGGCTGCCACTTCATAGGCTTTCTTCTGCTCAATCGTCTCATAGTTGAGTGCCTCAAAAAATATGTCCAAGACAAGAATATTTTCTCTGTAGAAAGAGAACAACAGCACCAGCCCATCAGCCACCACTCTGGGACAAGGAAAAGATAAAGGGATCTGGGGGCTTTTCCCCCACCCCCTGTCCTCATCACTCTTTCTGCTGACCTACAGACACCAGGAGGCCAAGGCTGTACTTTGGGAGCCTCAGCACAAGCTGGAGAACTCCTCTCCAAGATCTCTGCTCAGGATCTGAGGCGCTGGATCTCACTTTTATGGTAAGAGCAGAAGCCTGAATGATGATTAATAAGGAATAACTCTTGCTGTCTCCATATGGATCACAATGTGCCCATGACTGGTCCCAATAGCTCTTCTGGGCCCAAGGTGTCCCAATAGCTCTTCTGGGATGAAAGCAACCCACACCTCATCTCTTTGAGGGCTCACCCTAATCCCCCATGGAGGACATACGCCCATATTGGCAAGGTCTAAGCACTTGTGGTTTAAATGGCAAACAGATCTTTACTTTTTACCCCCCCACCCTTCCAAACGAAGGAGTTCTGTTTTCTGCAACACTCACGAGATATATTTTTCTGATTTGTTAAATTTCTTCTCCAGGTACTTGGCTGAAGTCTTGCTGGGGATCTTGACCATGGAGAGCTCTTTGTTGTACCTGGTCAGGTTACAGGGTGTCCTGCAGATGCAGTAATTGCTGTCTTTTTCAGCAAGCAAACCTGGAGAAGGTGGCAAAGTTCGATCTCAAGAGTTGGAAATAGGCAGCAGATGTGGACCCAAAGGTCACACAGCCCAGAAAGGAGCCAAGCAGTCAGATCTCAAATGAGAAGAGCTGCAAGAAATCCCGGCCATTTCTTTTCCATTTTATTGCATGCCATTCATAGCAGATTGAAGACAGGCTCTTCGCTGGAGGCCATGCTCTGTTACCAGCATCTGCCTGGGGTTGTAACTCATCTCATGTTGGTAACATGCCAACCCTTTGCATGCATCTGATCCTGACAACAGCACTCAACCCTGGAGTCTCCTAAATCCCAAACTAGAATGTGTTGCTCTCTCTCAACCCCAACCCAACTCCAAATCCAAGCTCAAACCCAAATACAATCCTAAATCCAAATCCAAAATCAAATCCAGCTCCAAATCCAGACCCAAACACAGACCCAGACCTAGAAGTGCTCCCCTCCTACACATCTCAGGGTGCTTGTTATCCTGATTCTTTCTGCCTCGATGGAACCACAGGACAGAGGAACTTTTATCCTAGGGAATATCCTGCCCTCCCCAACACTCAGATCTTATCAAAAGCCATTTCTGGGCTGCAGCTGTTGCTAATGACCCCATCCAGAAGGACACAGGCTGCTGGAAGTCCCCCCAGCTTGGGACTCCCATGACATCCAGAGACATCTCCTGGTACTCACCAAGCGCAGGCTCTGCACATTCCTTGTACTGCTCTGGGGTACAGAAGGGAGCATCCCCTGCAGGGAAAGGACACATCCATCGCTGTTGCTAGGGACTGGTGACATGGAAGCTTTTCAGCCCTGTCCTGTCTCCCTTTTCAGTCCCAAAATGAGCTGAGGGCAGTGTGGGGACAACAAAGAAATGACACCACTGACTTGACATTTGCAAAGCAAGCCAAGGATGGGTTGGGCAACGGAAGGATTGCAGCACCCATCCTACCTCTGCTGGCTCTGGGGGCCTTTTTTCCAAATCAGAGAGTCACAGCAAACATCACCCAAGGGTGCTAATCCAGGGACAGAGAGGTGTTACCAGAACCATGGCCCTCTGCCACTCCTGCCCCTATTTCAGGACATTTCACAAACATTTCTTGCACCCTCTTCCCTTTAGGACAAGATATTCCCAGCTCCTCTAGTCCCAGGTCCCTTGGCTGGTGGAGGCTGGGTGGATGGAGAGGAACACTGACCTGGCATGTGAACCATTTTGCAGTTGCAGTTTTCCACAATGTACCGCGTCTCGCAGTCGATCCTGCAAGCCGTGATGCTGTAAACGGGAAAGAAGTCTAAGCCCATGTCTGACGAGCGACATTCACCCCACGGCGGAGGCAGGTAGGTCAGCTGCAAGAGAGGGAGGAGGGGGTGTCAGGGGATGCAGCATCTCCTCCCCCCTACTGATAAGAAGGAAAGGGACCACGCTGGCTGGGGAGAGGGGCAACTCAGCTTGCCTAGTCCAGCCCAACCCCAAAAATTCCAACACGAGTCACTCTCAACTCCAACTCCCAAACCCGCCCAGGTTGATGCCTACTGGTCCAACCCTTCATCGTGATCTTGGAAATGGCATTAAGCAATTGCACAAATCAGTTTCTCATACCCATCCTCACCCTCCCAGCAACTTTTTTGCAGTAAGCAAGTCCTTGTGCTGCAGAGCTCCCCTCCAGTCCAGCAGCAGAGCCCAGCAGAATGGTGCACACCCAGCAGGATGGTGCACAGGGGATGTGCAGCACCAGGCATTCTGCAGGACCAGCTTTAAAGGAGCACTTGGTCCTTTCTTGCACCATTGGGAAAATGCTGCTCGTGTAGGGACTGCTGGGGAGGCTGCGACTTACAAATTGGCTCCAATTTGGTGAGAACAAACACAGGGTAATCAGCAGCGGTGTGTGACAGCTCCTGGCTCAGCCTTATGCTCATCTCATGGGGACGACGCAGGCAGTGCTGGTGACATTAAGGAGCAGATAATGGAAGCAGCAAAATTCCAGCAAAGGAAATGTGATTGCTGTGGTGCAAACAAACCTGGGTCTGCACCATTCCTTTCCTCACATAGGCACTTTTCACACTGACACAAAATGCACCAGGTGACAGCCTTACACAGTAGCACCAGCTTTGAGAAGAGGACAAGTCAGCAATGCCCTTTCCAAACACCTCTGCAGCAAGACACAGTGACAGCCATCCACTTTCCTTGCACCCATGCTGCTGACGACCCACCTTTGCACATCACCTTGCATGAAGCAACCCGGACTGCTCAGTAGTAGTGCAGTGCAAACTCTTCTGTTGTTACCACTTTATTTAGCATAAATGCAAAAATAAGAAGAGCAGAACGCTGCAGTCCACCACAGAAACCTTAATTGCAAGCCCAGAACATGCTGGAGGAAAAACAGTCGCTCTCTGGCCCCCACGGCCAAATCTACCTTGTTTGCCTTCTGTCTGAAGCTTGGCAGGCTTTCCTATTTCTCTTTATCTTCACTAAATGCTCTGCAATACTTTTTGCTAGAGAGCAGAAAATAGCACTTCCCTAACCCCTCCTCTGTGTTTTAAAGCAGCATCCAATTTGCCATGCTTTGCTCGAAACACTGAACGCATTGTGCTGGCAGAGCACGTTGGCTGGAGAGAAACATTCATTTAAATATGTAGTAACATTAATCATGTTCTAAAATAAATATGTAAACATATGGTGATGGACTACAAGCCTAAGAACTAGGAGCTAGGTGTGAGGTGCTTCCTTTGGGGCTATCTGGGGGGTCTTCTGGAGATGTAGGGGAAAGAGAGTCATAGAATCATGGTTTGGATTGGAAAGGAACTCAAAGATCATAGAACCACGATATCACGGCTTGATTGGGTTGGAAGGGACCTTAAAGATCGAAGAACCATGGGATCATGGAACCCAGTGTGGCTGTGTTGGAAGAGATCACAGAGATTGCAGAACCATAGAATCACAGCATGGTTGGGTTGGAAGGGACCATAACGGTTGCAGAACCATGGAATCATTGCATGGTTGGGCTCGAAGGGATCTTAAAGCCCATCTAGTTCCATCCCTCGCCGTGGGCTGGGTGCCTCCCACCAGCTCAGGCTGCCCAGGGTCTCATCCATGGCCTTGGGACCTCCAGTGATGGCGCACCCAAACTTCTCTGAGGAACCTGAAAAGGGGTGAGTCACAAAGTAGAGCCATGTTGTGGACCCTGAAGGATGAATAATGAGCCCAGGAACCCTTCAGGTATGGACCTGGGGTGATTACAACAAAGTTGACATGACATGAGCCACGTGAAGCCCATACTGCGCTCCAAGTCTCTTTTGTCGGACCAGATGATTTAGTAGTCTTTGTCAACCATAATGATTCTATGATTTGTGAGATCTCTGGTGAGAGCAAAGCCCCAGCTCACCTCCAAAGCACCTTCAGAACATTTGCACCCTTTCTGCACCAGCCTGTAGTGCTTGAGAGAAGGTTTGTCTTTGGTTTTGACTTCATAACCAATCAGCAGCTATATTCTATATTGGTCTTCAATTGCAGATAGGGAGAGAAAGAGATGTTGTGAAGAACTTGACTGGTGGTGAGGGTGGAAGTAAGGCAGAGCTTGGAGAAAAGGCCAGGCTTTGGAGGGAGAATCCAGCCCACTCCAAATCCAGTCCTACCCCATGGCCCTGGGCCCATGGGCTCATAGCTCAGCCAAGCAGAAGTAATTCCTTCTCTATGAACAATTTTGCCACAAAAAGTTCCCACCCAAGAATGTGGAGGTGCTTTGCTCACCACTTTGATGGTTCCCAGTTGTTTCAGTCTCTAACCTGCTGCAGGTTTGCAGGACCAGATGGAACCATGCTCAAGGTAGCCCTGCAGAACATCCATCTCCCAGCCAAGCCAAGGCTCCCAGCCATGGTAAGATGGCAGTTCCAGGTCTTCCCCTGCATAGGACCAAGGAGAGACCCTAGACAAGCTCAGAATGAAGGTGAAGGGATCTCGGTGTAACAGTGAACGCTCCTAGGCTCTGGTTGCCCACTAGCCTGGCAAGCACAGAATCACCAGCTCCCTTCCCCTGCTCCTGTGAGCATCGATGCTGCTATTTAACTGCTGACAAAAAAATAACTTTGCAGCATCGCCCATGGGCACTGGAGTTCCCCAAATCCATCCAAATCCACACTGCTGCTCACTTCAGGGCAACAGCAGTGAGAGCAGCTCAGCACAACACGCAGCGATCTCCGCATCCTGCAGGTCCCATCTGAGCCACAGACAGCTCCCAGGTGCGAAGGTGCAGCCGGTGAAGGCTGTTCCCATCTGTGGAACCAGCAGAAGAACTGAGAATAAAAGCAGCTCCCAGACATTTGCAGCATCTCCAAGAAACAGGGCTGGCTCTGAAGCGGGTGGTGTTGGAAGCCTGCGAAGCAACACCTCTGAATGAAAATACTGAGAGCGTCTCTGCAACAATAGCAAAGTGTTGTTTGAAGAGGATCTTTTCTCATTTGCTTTACACTTGCTGCATAATAGAGTACCAGATGCCATCATTTAGTCATCCGCAGCGGAGAAAGGGGCCCATATGTTGCACGTTGTATGATAAAGGAGAATAAATAATCACAGGCTCAGATGGAATCAGCTCTCTTCTGAGCACCGCTACACACAAATCTTCTAAGCCCTGTAAATTTTATTCTGAGATGTAGGTGACAGGAGCAGGAGATGACGGAGTCGCCATCAGACACTGAGCTTACACAGCTTTTGCTCAGCCAGCACTGGATGTGAGCCACGGTGTTTGTGAACCAGCACCGCGTCTGCAGGAGCTGCACGGGCTGAATGCTTAATTAAAGCCAGCTTCATTAACAGAGTTAGGTCTTGTTCCAGAGCCAGGACCACGAGCACTATCCGCCCATGTCCTGCATTAGCACAGACCCCATGCAGTGAAGCAAAGCTGGCTTGCTTCTCCCTCCAATCATGGGGTTCCATTTGCTTTGCCCACAATTTACTCCTTTCCAGCTTCCCCAACATGCAGCACACAGATCCACGTGCCACCATACGTTCCATTTTTTGCTCTCAGTGTTAAGACCCCCCCTCCCTGTGCAAGTCAACAAACTTCTACCTCTCTGAGGGACTCATCAAGGGCTATTAGTGGAGCTTCCATTGTAATTACAGCTTCAGAGGAAGGTTGCTTCCCTTGTGCTCTGTAATTTGTAATCAGAAGTGAATCCTCAACTGATCAGCACATGGGTGTGGGACCTCTCAGGAGGGGGCAGGTACATCCCCATGGAATCAGCTCTGTGCTGCTCCCAGGCAGGGCACATCCTCAGAAATGTTCCCTGAGAGGAGCCCCTTCAGCCCCACAGCCACGCTGTGCTTTTGCAAGAGTGCACCTTGCAGGGGAAGGCTCAGAGCAAGAGGGCAAACACTTCTGCAGCACACAGCTCAATCCTGCCAAAAAGCAATGGAGCAAAATCTGAAGTTTCTCCCATTGCAAGGCCCCATCCGTGCTCCCATGAGCACTGCAAGCCCTGTGGTTAGTGCAAACTGTGGGGTTAGTGAAATGGTGAACCTGCCTGCAAAAGCATCCTTCCCTGCAAACCCCTGTAACCCTCTCATTGATGCAACTGGTGCACTGTCAGGGCTGCAAATTCACGCAAAGCCTTTGTATGCACAACACCTGACCCTGGGGTCTGCCTGGGCTGTGCAGTGCAGACACCTGGATCTCCAGTGCACAGAGCTAACAAAGTTAACGAGGCCGTCACATAATGCTGCCTGCCTCACTTGCTTTGCTTTCCCCTCTTTTGTGCAGTGCTCATTTTTGCCCCAAATGCAGTGAGCAGTGGGATTTGGTGCTGCACCAGAAGCTGAGCTGCTTCCCACCACCAGAAATGAGCGACGTCCCTTAGAAACTGGAAGGAAAGGATGAAAAGAGCAAAGCAGGAACAGTTTCTGCCCTCACTTCAGTGGCACTGATCCATCATTTTGCTCTGCTTTCCCAATAGCTGGAGTTCAGCATCAGCCCCTAATTGAGGCCGACAAACGCGCATCCCCTCACATTCGCCGTCATTAATACTTAATTAATTAATTAAGTGCTCGTTAAATTGCCTTGATTCCTGCTATTAGGGGATTGCAATGAGCGGTTGCAGCGTGGGAATGTGGTGAAGCTGCTTCCAGCCCTGTTTGCAGCTGTGCTCTGCCATAAATCTGCTTTGGCTCAGCACCACCCGATGTCACCGCGCTCCAGGCACATCCAGAGCCACCAGCCCACCACCACTGGAGCTCGCAGCCTCAAGGCAAGGTGTGTCTGCTTATGCTGCAAATGAAATAATGACCACAAACCTACGTTCTTTAATAAGACATCAAATGGCATCAACTTAATAGATTTTCAATCCCAGACAGCTTC